TTTTTTTTTTTTTTTTTTTTTTTTTTTTTTTTTTTTTTTTTTTTTTTTTTTTTTTTTTTTGGTGCTGCAGTGCAACAGCAAAACTCGAGCAGCAAATGGCAGCACTAGCAGCAGAGATGGATTCCGTTCGTTCAGTGGTTTCTGCAGCAGAGCAGGTTAGTAATTAAGAAATATTTTTTTTTATTTTATTTTTTTTTATTTTTTATTTATATATACACGCATGCATGCATGCATGCATGCATGCATGCGGGGCACAGAAATTAGAACTCTGTTATGAACTTCACCGCAAAGCAGCTGAAACCCAAACAAATATTTTTTTGTCTTTTCCTTTGGCGGTGGTGATGAGGAATGTAACAAAGAGAGCTGAAACATTTCTTAATGCTTCTTCTTTTTCTTTTTCTTCTTCTTCTTGATGTAAGTCGGGTGTATGCACACCTTTTAGGGTTTAAATATAAAGAGAAGATATTTATTTTTTTATTTTTTTTTTTAGGTTTTTTTATATGGGTTCTTTATATATTCATCTTATACACACCACAGAGCAGCAGCACCTGCTGCATGATATATGCTGGTGGTGATGAGCGGAGAAATTTTTCGTTTTTTTATTAATTTAAACAAATAAATTTGTTTTTTTTTATTGAAATAAAATTAAAAAGAAAAAAATTAATTAAAAAAACAAAAAAAACGAAAATACAGAAATCGAGTCGGCAGCAGCACCACTGGCTAGCAGCGGCGGCTGCGCCACGAAACCCGAAACCATGAATCTGTTTTTTTTTATAAAAAAATTCATAAATTTAAATTAAATTAAAATAAATAATAAAACAAAATAAAATAAAACAAAATAAAATAAAATAAAATACAAAACACCAAGAGGAGAGTACCGCCGAGAGCTGCTCTGTTCTTCTTCCTGCCGTCGGCGGCGGCGGATCGACAAGCGCGTGCAGCCTGTTCTTCTTTGCTTCGTTTTTTTTGTTTTTTTTTCATTTTATTAAATAATTATAATTAAAAAAGGTTTTTATTTTATATTTTCCTTTATTTTAAACTCCTCAGGCCCTGCAGAACCCCAGCAACCCCTCCCTCGATTGCCTGCGTGCATTCAGTGGGTGAGCAGAGCAGCATTTGGGGTGTATAGACACCTCAATCCCGCAGCAGCTTTCATTTCCTTTTATCAGTATTCATTTCTTTTTAAATATAACTCTTCCTGTTTCTTCTTCTCCTCTGCAGCAGCCTGACGCGCTGCTGCAGCCCCTTCCTCCTCCACAAACCCTAAACCCTACTAAACCCTAAACCCTACTAAACCCTAAACCCTAAACCCTTATTCCACTAAGATGAATTTAGAAAGACTGGAGTCTGCTGTAGCAGCAACCCCAAGAGAAACCATCCGCACCATCTACCCCCATGGCCACAAACGGCGGGTGCCAGCAGAGGCGGTTTGCAGGTGCGTTGGAAGCAGCAGCAGCAGCAGCAGCAGCAGCAGCAGCAGCAGCAGCAGCAGCAGCAGCAGCAGCATGAGCGTGACCACTGGTCATGACCACTGGTCACGTGGTTGCAGCTCTCGATTGGCGCCGTCTGGTGTTTTATTTTGCCTCTTTTCCATATCTGTATCTCAACACCACTGGTTATGACCACTGGTCATCACATCACCTTGACGAGACATTTTTTCTTTTCTTT